TTGCTATCTTCATGTATTCGTCTTCGCATGTTCATATCCTGGAAATTTGAAGTAGATCAAATTGCTCATTAGATCATTCTCGCAATGGCAATTTAGTTTGGCCCTGTTGCGCTGCCAATTGTTGCAGACAAGAAAGAACACCTGTAGGGAATTAGTCAACTGAAATAATATATAATATTAGACCAGACTTACCAGTAACTCCCTGTGTCAGGGTGGCCTTAGCCTCTGTGCTGCGCGAGCCCAAAGTGACAGTCATAGCATAGTCGACAGCTTTTTCGCTGTGCAGCTTATTAGCCCACCGGAAAACCGGCTCGTCATCACGGTTATCGCCGATAACCAGCAAGAAATCGGGTCTGATAACATCGTCATTTTTATCGGCATTTGCCATGAACCACTTCCAGACCAGTTCAGCCGCAGATGCCTTGTTGGTGTGAGTGGTCTCCACGACCAAAGCACCCTCAACGGGAATCGCATGTACATCCATATTAGCACATGCATCGTTGATATTGCCTGCGCATTCAGCAGAAGATCGAGCGGCAGCTTGACGGTCTTCGGCGGATCCGTGGTGGAAGACAAGCGAGCAATGGCGCTCCTCAATCCAGCTACCCTCGACGCGAGCGTGGAAGTATGCCAGGATATTAGACACAGATGCCTTCCATGACTTGACATGCATCTTGTCTCCAAGTTGGGTCCAGGAATCGGCGTGCGGCTCGCGCACGAAGGACCCGTTCTCGGCAATCAGTCCTAGATTGTTGACTTGTCGGAACAGCCGTTCCATTTCCTCTGGCATGCGCGCGCTCATTACGTAGACAACGTTGGCAGGGTCTTCGGTTAAGTCGTTTAAAGTTGTGATTGCGCGCTGCGGCGTGGTCAGGATGATGCTGCGCGGCGAGCCCCAGGAGGCTAGTGTGTCTTCATAATCGATGATCATGAGTCGTTGCTTGGACTGTCGATACCTGTCGGTGAGCCGGGATACGGATAGTCGGGGCACAGCCATGATTTCTCGCGAAGATTGCTCGTTCCAGACACGGGTGAGCGTTTCACTGAATGATTTCACCCAGTTGGCAGTCGAGTTCTTCAGGACCGCACGGTGCATTGCCTTCCAAACCTCTTTCCGTTCCTTTTCATTGCGAGTCAGCGCTGTGTGAATTGCTTCGCAACACTGGCGATAATCCCAAGGGTTGACCAAAAGCGCATGGTTCCCGAAAACAGATGCGCTGCCAGTGAACTCGCTAAGAATTAATGACCCGTAGGCTTTGTCGCCCCATCGACCATCCTGGCAGTAGACAAACTCATGGCTAGTCAGATTCATTCCCTCGCGGAGGCTGGTGATCATCAGGGCATCTGCCACAGTGATGAGAGCAAGGTACTGCGGGAAGGCTAAGTCTTGTTTGAGGAATACCAAAGGCTGGTGAGCGAGTGTCGAGTGTGTGGAGTTGATCCGCATGGCAATATCGGATATAGTCGCTTCCAGTTCTGGTTGTTCTGTGGTGCTGGTTGCGACTTGGATCAACACAACTTTATCAGCCCATTCTGGGTAGGTGTTGAGGAAAAGCTCATAACTGAGAAGTTTTTGGCGAATACCCCGAACGGAATCAATCTTATCGCGTGAGACGATGAGCCGCTTCCCTTGATATCGCTGTGAGATTGTAGCGACCCATCGCTCCACGTCCGTCGCTTGGCGGCGCTTATCCCAAGAAGTTGGGTCAATGCCGATAGGGAATGTGCCGACGTTAACAAAACCGTCTTCCAATTGGATTCCTTCGGGTGTTGCCTCCACACACAAAATCCGACTGCATGTCTGCAAGAAGTGCCGGCAGTATTCATCTGTCTGGAAACCAATAAGGTTGGCCCCAAGAATGCCCTGGAGGAGCTCCTTGCGTTGTGCCAAGCACTTAAAGACCTCCGACGAGGGGAAAGCAATATGCAGGAAAAACCCAATTTGTGCATCTGGCACCAATTTACGAAGCATAGCTGGAACCAGTAACAGATGATAATCCTGGACCCATATCGCATCACCCCGTTTCCAATGCTTAGCAATGTGATTGGCAAAAGCCTGATTCAACTTGACGTAGTAGATCCATGAATGATCCTCGTAAGCTTTGCTTTTCGGGTTATCTGGGATTTGATAATGGAATACCGGCCAAAGAATGGTCTTGCAGAAATGCGTGTAGTGCCCGTCGAAGTCGCCGTCGTTTACAAACACCGTCAGAGACCCATACTCATCTTCCAATTTCTCTGCGATGTCTCGCCGGGTGTATTTTGCCAAGGCGTCAGTGGGCATACCCAAGGTGCCCACCCACATCATGTTATCCAAGTACCCAGCGTCTGTTGCGGATCGCACCGCATTGCGCAAGCCACCATTGCCCTGCTCCGCGGTCGCGATGGTCCATTCAGCTTTCGAAAAGGACAATTTTCGGCTCGCTGTGCTGGCCTTTCTTAGTTTTGCATGGGAAGCAATGGTCTCGGCCGCAGGAGGTCGGTGAGGCACAGATTCCTTGGCGGGGCGAAGGTCTTGGTGCTTGAGAATGGATGGAGACGGCGATAACACCGCCACTGGTTTTGGCTGATTGAGCGAGGTTGTGGCACCCCATACCGGGGAATGACCTTCACTCTCCGTGAGGAGCCGGTTGTCCTGCTCGGCAGCCAAAGGGAACAAGTACCCGCTTTTCTCTGGCTCTGTCTTGGCTACCTGGGCAGCAAAGATGCGCTCATGATCTGTTGTAGCCCCTGGTGTAAGACCCGGCACTTTCCCTGGAACGCTCTTCTCGAACAAGCTAGCCGCAGAATTGGGGATGGGTGTGATGCCATCGACGGTGGTGTTCGCGGATGGAGGACTCGGATAGAGAGAGCGAGCGCGTGAGTGGTTGAGATGGAAATCGACAGTGTAGGGCAAGAATCTACATAAGAAATTCATCGGTTAGCCATATATAGTTCAAAGTCCAGTAAGCGCCACGTACAGAGATACTACGAAGACGGTCATATTGACTGAGCCCGGCCCGGATAGGCGGAAGAATTAAAAGACAATGTGAGAGACAGACTTCCAGCTTTGGCGATATGAATAGGTAGATATACGCGACGATCGAACGAGCGGCTGGAGTCCTAACATCCGGAGGCAAGCTGAAGGGAAAAAAAAGTGTCAGTTACACGATGATGTGTTTCATGACTACGTCATGTGAAGGTGCCAAGTGGTGGAGAAGCGAGTTTGCCCGTGGATTGCCAGGACAAACAAGAACAAGGAAGATCTAGGAGCTGCATTCAGAGGTGACATAAAAATATCTTGGAATGTCCTTGCAAACCAACAAGATATCGCGGAACCAAGGAAAGACGTCGACTTATCCATCTCCTGACATGAGCTTACTGCCTCGTACCGGTTTTACCCCACTTGAGGGTCGGGATGATCTCGTACGGTATTTTATTTACAGAACTATGCTGATCGACTGTGATTCGTGGAATATCTGGCTGTCACCTGACATGAGGTAATATTTCTCCTCTGCTATGCATATTCGAAAGTTCATCCACTCATGCCATGACCCTGCGTCTCACATCCGCTCCGGTATCTGGTGTCAAGAAACGCAAAGCCTCTGCTCCCAAACCACGTGTCTCGCCCTTTGCCACCCATGTGCGCCGCAAACCTACATCTGACGGCCCAAAGCCGACTCCAGATCTAGCTTTCGATGGTCCGCTTCCAGATGTAGGCGGGTCTCTTTACATATCGAAAACTGCACCGGTTCAAAATGTGCTTCAGGCTATTCAATATATCCGTGATGGCATGTTTGGAGAACTTCCGACACGGGCGGGAATGAACAGCACACGCATCGCAGAAGTCCTCAATCTACGTCGATCTTTGCCTCCCCTCGCCTCTGTGGCCCATGTCCATACCCTTTTAGAGGCACCGACACGAGTGGAAAGGGAAATCGTGGAACAGATTCAAGCAGGTCGGATTCGGCGACTCATTATACCGGGTCGAGGCAATGATGCGGCAGGACTGGGCGATTGTTTGGTGCTAGCAGAGGATTGGGACAACCTGGTGCAGGAAAGCCCTGCATTGGAACCACCAGTCAAGGGTGAGTTTTCGAGTCCGGATTCTTGAGCTTCATGGACTGACGGGATTACAGAGAAATTCCTTGATATCCTGAAACGTATTGGGACCTCCTCGGCGATCTCGCAGGGGGTCTTCACGACGGACGAGTACAGGGCCTTGCTCCGTGCCGGCTTTATTGTCTCGTCATCATCCTACACGCAGGGCACATTAAGTATTGCATCGCTTCCTAATCTACCTCAAATGGCGACTTCGTCAGCAAGTCGAAGCGAGTCTATCTCGCACTCTGAGCGCCCCATACAGTCAGCTGCCCAGGCTCGTGCGGCAACTCTGTTCTTGTCTCTTCCTAACACGGGAACGTATCTCCGTTTGTTAGGTTCAGGTCGTGCGCATCTGCTCGCTCTTCTCCGACGGTCCGCATCTGGTGAAGCCCCTCTGGGTCTGTTGAAAGATCGATGGGATGGAGCTGTTGAGACTGACAAGAGTTTCCATATAGCCAAGCGATCCCGTGGCGAGTTTGCAGGGGTCCTGCCGGGTAAGACTAAGAAATGGAAAGAGCTATACGGGATGTGCTTTCGATGGGTGCTAGAGGAAGCACTAGGAGCGGGACTGGTGGAGATGTTTGAGACAGGCAGCGTTGGACCTGGGATCCGCTGTCTATAGTCTCTATATCCTTTGCCTAAATTGTTGCGCCGATATAAATTGATCAACATGATCATCGACCTGTTTTGCAGATAAATTGACCAAGTCGAAGAGATCGTTGTGTCCATCAAGTCATCTAAAGAAGCAACCTTCAATTTCTCACATAATCTAGACCTGTGCAAACAAATAAGAAAGACATAATCTCGTCAAAATTTATTTTGCTTTCTAACTTCTTCCCTTTTCTTTTACCCTCCACCTCTCCATCTGCACATCCACTTTCTTCATAGCCAAGCCTTCTTCCTTTCAGCCCTCCATCATGCCGCTAATCCAACTAGAGCCACATCTGTTCACCAGCCTCCCCCGTCACCCAGATCTTCAGGGGGATGCCAACACCCCAGATCTACGGGAGTTCATCCGCGACACCCTTGTTGAAGCACAGCCTCTTCTAAATCAGTTCCCGCCGACACTGAAACCAGACTGCAGGCTGCGCTCTTCTCCACCTTCAAAGGCAAAAGTGAAACTCTCACGGGGATGGCGAAATCTGCAATCCCCCCAAGAGGGGTCAATTCCCAAAAAGGAATTCTGGGTATGTCGCCAAAGCGACCACCAAGACTCTGGTCATCTGCCTGGGACAGTTTCCCTATGGGAATTCCACGACGGGTTGCGATACAACCATGCCGAGCACGAGAAGGAGTACACACCCAGTGTGACGAGCGTAAAGCAACTGCTGAAGTGGAACGAGCCGAGACAATGGGATCTCAACCAACAAATTACTGTTGGGAACATGAACTACAAGCATTTCGAGGTCGAACGTATGTATAAAAATCCCCGAACACACAAGGACAGCCCACTGAAAGAGAAGGCCAGTCAATCTTATTGTCCACACCTTCCATCCACGCGCACTAATCCGGCCCCGGGCCTTCATATCCTGGACTATGTCAGCGACCTTCGCCACCGCATACCCAGCAAGCCAAGCCAATCCAGGCCACGGCTTTATCACTGTGCAAATTCCTTTCTATTTGACTAAGCCCATGATCCCGGGCTCCCAGTATCAGGGGCTCTACGCCCAGATCATGGACGTCGTCCCGCAGCGGGCAGTCTTCGCTTACTATGCCAGTATCGAGCGGGTTCAGCGGGTGCTGCCTCCTACCCCTCCAGCTTCGGGTCCGTCGTCTGCGGCGGATTTGAGCACCCCTCCTGAGCGTTACCTTCGGTGGACTATGCTGACGACTTCTGATTCTGGTGGAAAGATTCCTAAGTGGGTTCAGCGAAGCTGGACGCTATGTGGGGTGCCGCGGGCTGTTGTCTCCGATGTTGGGTTATTTATTCGGTGGACTATCAAGCGACGGGAAGAAAGATTGGAGCAGGATTCTCAAATGAGGGAGGGCTAACTTGCTGTTGGTCCGTTGAGTGTCTTTCTCGGCATTCACTCTACTGTGTCATCTGGGATAATTGTAATGGCTGTGGGTTATGATTGACATACAGAATCCTCAAAAATCAAAAGCAGACAAGTACAAAATGTGGATATGTTTCTTTGTAAGTCTCCCGAGCTCATTGGATCGCACCGTAGCAGATATTCTCAGCGATGATTTCACAGGCAAGCCTTGCCAACACCGAAAGCCTGTAACGCAGCAGATATACCAAGGACAATGGAAGTATCATTGATACCATGTTTAGCATACCAGACAGAGCTAGCCCAGAGCAAGAAATTCGCGATTCCAGCCATAGCTTTGTTCACTGGGTCCTGGAGAAGACTGGGATCTCGCGACCATTGCCAGTGAAGAAGACCTGTTAATGATTATGGTTAGGACTTGACTAGGAAAAGTGACACTATAAACCTACCAGTCAATAGGAAGAAACCACTCCCCTATTTAGAAGAAACCGAATATGACAGTCAGTATAAAGCAAATAGGCGTGATTGATATTGACGAGACACCAAGGTCAAGGTTCAACGCACCTGGTACCACCCTAGAGTCCCGCAAGTCCATGAATTAGTGCCTTTGATAGCTTTGAATCTTGGGTCGGCTGTCCATTCTCTCCCCTTGATCTGCGCAACAATCAATATGGGCTTTTAAGAGGGTCTCTAAGTTCGGAATAATACCGTGTGTCCAATGGAAAGCAACACAAAGGATGCAGCCGACGCCTGCAGGAGTGTGGGAGACATTGTTGAAACAGTGATGTGTTGAAGGATACAATATTTTAGGGGTGCTTCAGTTCGAGATGTGTACTCGTACTTTGGCGGTCTCTGAAATGCCTCGGCTCAATTGGTGTGAAGATGCCGCCTATGACGCGGTGGGTGGGGCTATAAACCACAGTTATCAAAGGCTATCTATACAACGTACATCCATACATAGAGAAGTCGCTTTCACAAATTAAGCCTTTTTTGCCACTTTTCTGCTATCTAACAAACTGAGAAGGGGAGAAAATATCATTATAACCAGATATCTAAAGAGACTACCTGATGAGACTACCTAAGAAAACCACCAGAACTACGGCCGCATAAGCGGCCAAGTATTCGTGTTATATTTTATTATTTATCCTACTTCATCCAACTTCATGCCTCTCAATCGAAGATAAAGATTTCGGAGCCATAAACACCGTCAACCAGCTCGTGAGCTGAGTTTTGCCCTATATAGGTCGCTTCCTTTAAGGGACAAATTAGATGCCCTCATGGCCTTATTCCAATTTACATACTACGTATGTCCAGGGTAGATGCTGACTTTTAAAAGCCATGTACCAAAACTTAAAGTTAAGCTAGACCCTACATGGAAGCCGTATATGGGAGAAGCGATATTCCAAGGTCCTTCCCTCACTTCCTTTTCTTCTATCTCTCACTTCTTCCACCTCACTTCCATCTCTTCCATCTTCGTTTCATGTTATGGCATCTCACACGAGGTACTTCTCATCTCGCTAAAACCGAGGTGATTCCTCGCCTTACAAACGGAAGAAAACCCCGCTTCAGAATCTCTCCTCTCGAAGGACTTTGTGTTGTTCCCGCCCAGAGTTCTCAATTACAGCCCCTATTTGCTCCGCCTGTGTTTGATTCCAGACTCATCAGTAAGTGATACCGACACTTTCAGATTTATCAAGAGAATTGAAAGCTAATGTCAGTTTAGATTTGGAACCTTCTCCTCCTCCTCCATCCTCTCCAGCAATCGTCCCCTGGCGCCGTATCACACCACACGGCCATCCAGATCCCGTCACGGAACCTGCCTTAACATTTTCCCGTGAAGTCATTTTTCCCTTGGACCTTCGCGAATTTCCGCGGATGTTTTCTGACCGTCGTCATTTTAATTTACTTACAGACCTTTTTCCAACCACACAACAGGTCAAATTTGATGACAGGGTTCCCATCTTTCGCGTGTAAGTGTTGCCACCTAAACCGTGGCCCAAACGCATCGCAGCAACCCAACATGGGTTCTGGCTTATGAAGGGGACTTCGGATTAACGCAGCAGGAACGGGTGTCGCTTACCGAGGCGGCTTTGGGAGAGAGATCCTGAGTGCTTGAAAATCATTGCAGACGTGGATTCATGGACCATATCTACTGGGACGGCCTGTTGGACTATCCTAACACGCGGGAACTTTTCGCATCTGAGGATAAAATTCCAATTGGCCCAGATTCTTGCACGATCGTGCGAAGGGTGTGACTGGGTGTCCCCTGCTACCTGACAGACGACCTAAACGATAAGGGCCTAGTCGTTCCCTTTAGCTATCGCAGCCGCTCCCGGATTGATTTCTCTAAAGACCTTGACCTTAGGGACAAGGATGACTCAATTAGACCTAATACCCGATTTGGTACGCGGATTCCCCGAACAAGCTCGACCCCTTATCACTGAAATTCAGGTTTGGGGTCGTATCGTTGTTATTGTTCTCGAAGGTCGAATTGACCACAATGAGAATGTCATGGATGACATTCTGAAATCCGTTCCTCGTTCTCTTGCTAATTGCAACTGCTCGTACCTTTTAGAGATCATATAAATACATATGTAAGCCCCGCACGCTGTCTGCTCAACGACTACAAAACGCTTCTTTGTCGTGACCGGACGACTCTCGATACGGGCTGAGACCAGGCGTGATGGTCAGCTCCGGTTCTGATTCCAGAGGCGAACCAATGTGTTCGTCCTCGGGTGTCCTCGTCGAAGATCACCTGGGCTCTACATATATGACGATCTCCTTGACGTCGCACGTCGGCAGTACGATCCACTACACCAACTCAAAACTAGCCAGCAGATCCTTAAGTTTCGATCGGTTCCAGAAAAGGAGTTTGATATCCTATCAGCTGACGACACGCGGCTATACAAGTTTATCAAACTTCAGTATCATCGGCCAACTGAACTTCTACTCGTGAAGGTCATACCGGGTTGGGATCATAAGAACCTTATTTTCCTCGTTCTGGCGTTTTCTCTCGAGCCTTGGCCATCCAGCTGTTCTTAATGGGCCTTTCCGATGACAATAGGGCGTTCGTTTCCCGCCCATCACCAAGGACTGAAGGAATGTCTGTGGCCAAGAAGCCTGACTGGTGGCTGTCTCCAACGGATATCTTTGATGGGATGGGTGGGGGACAGGATTCCCTACCCTGGCCCTTGAAGTCGGCGTCTCAGAATCCTACCCGCAGCTATGCAAGGACGCCCAAGTGGTGGTACAGCAGCTCCAGCATAGGAAATACCCAGGACCATCTCACCAAGTGCCCTTGGATTCCCGTTCGGTAGAAGTGTTCACCATCCATATCCCCGTGGCGCAATGATCGGCGAAATCACTACAGAGCTCACTCATGCGGACATCTCATTGATAAGGCTCGGTGATAGAGTAGAGTGCGTGAACGGACCATTTTGAAATACCTTGACATTAGGTGGTCCTTTTCGACTCGGAAATCTCATTCAAATTTCAGAAACAAAACGATGTTAGGATGGGTTCTGACGTGCTCGATATGCTCTCTGTTACTGATAATTGGACGCCAACGATGGCTGCCTCGGGATCAATCACTGTTTACAACAATCGATCCTCCATCCAGATTTGATGATCTGAGGGCCACTGCAAGTTGCAAGTTCTGGTTGTTGGATTCTATGGAAATGGCCTTCGAGACGCTCCAGGACCTGAACGACCAGCGACGACAAGAACTTGCACGGGCGACTAGCTAAACTCGGGATTTGGTCTTCTTTGATAGCCCCTTTAACAAGTTCTAGATTCTGGTTAAAAAGCGCCCCATCGCCAAGAGGGATCTAGATAGTTCCGTAGCAAGTCTAGGTATTGTCACCGTTTGGGAAAGCAATTGACATGTAATCGCAATGGCGGAGTAAAAAGATATATCACTCTAGGCTCTCCGCTCTGCGCGACCCGATGGCATTACTACTGAGCGAGTGCAAAATAGAGGGGACGTAGGGAAACAGGGAGTACAACATAAACAAGAGATCAGACCGGGTGAGGTCGGTTCTTTTATGCGGGGGGCATTCAAGGGACGGACGCTAAATCTAAAGGGGAAGTGCTAACTCGAACAGGCAATTTGTAGGTCCGCTGTCTACATTGCACATCATAAGGGTAGTGTCTGTCCCCAGGAAACACCTGGGCACCTACCTATCAACAATTATGTCGTACCAATTCATCTGACGAGTTCAAGAGTATATTATCACTAACTAAGTCGGGAATAGCAGCATTACGAATAACTCCAAATCCAGCGTAACATGCACATATCCAACACAATCACATGAATCCATCTTTGGCATGGAATCGACAACAGGACACAAGGGGTCCAGGTCGCGGTTCAGTGAGAATCAATATTCTCCATTCCGTCGCGATGTCGGACCATTTTTGTTTGACACGCCAAACTCCGTTGGCTGTCCAAAAAAAGAAGAGGTGAAAAAAGGACACACTTTGCAGCGCACTCCACGTATGAATAAAGTAGGCTAGAACGGAAACGCTCTCCCGGGTGTTATGGCTCGGGGGAAAAGAGAGAGAAAAAGGAAAATAATAATGGGGCATAGAAAACACCAACGTCGGCGGCTGTCGGTGTGGTGATCGTGAGGGCATCAAGTTTGACCCTCGAAGGAGGATGGGATAATCAAGACGTATAGACAAAGGAAAAGGAGGGGAGGGCATAACAACCAGTTCACGTGGCTGACGGGCGGCAATATCGTACACTCTAGGCAGAACCACACACCCAATAACGTATTACCGCGGTGGTCCAGAATTATTCAAGTTTACTTCCACGGGAGCCGGGGGCGCCGAGTTGGACGACGCAACGTGCGCCCGCAAAGCGGCAACTTCAGTGCGCAGGCCTGTCAACTCTTCGTGCATTGTCCGCACGTACGCCCAAAGCTTATCGAGTTGGCTAGCGTCACTAGAATTGGCATCCGGCCCATCGAATCCCTTGAGATGAGATAGACTGTGGCTACT